TATCAGTCTTGCTAATCTTGTGTTCCACCTATCCTATACTAATGAATTTGTAGACAGCATGAAAGAGATGAAAAAAGGTCATGTCTCTTGATGCACCATCAGTGCTTCATTTTTTTCAGGAGTTCTTTTAAATGTCTGATGTCTTAAGGCTGATATTAGTCATTTGTAAAGTGAAAGCCATCTTGCAAAACTATCCACTAGCCATCCAAGAAAATTCACGAGTCTCTTCGCCAGTAACTCTGAATTTTGTAGAAAACATGAAATGAACAGGAAGGGTCTTTTTTTCCCAATAAAGAGAGAGAGCAAATCTGGGGGACAATCTAGGAAGTCAATATGCAAGGCCTTATCCAACTTTAAAGAAGTTCAATGTAAAGAGTTGGATGAAATGTTAAAACAGCAGCGCAGTTTTTTTGCACCCTTTTTATTGTAGGAAAGGAAACACTGTGCCACGCCAGAATAGGGTACCACACAGATTCTGACACTGTGATCACTGCTGAATCCAGGGGCAAAGACCTGCTAGGAATATTTGTTTGTAGGGTTTCTTACCCTTCAGCAGCAGTGGAGCTCTGTACCCTGTGCTGGTGACACTGCAATATTTTGTCCTGTCATTGAGAAGTACTGTAGCGAGTTTAAGGAACTGGAATTCTCTTCAAACTTATCCAGTTGCTCATATGAGAAGCACTGTGTGGGACAGAAGTGACATGCACTGAAGATTTTTGAATGGGGAGCAGAATAGTACAGATGGAGAGTGGTGAGTACCTAGAGCATGAAATTGTTTCACTGGAGTATTTGAAATGAAAAAGCCACTAATGAAATATTCATCTGAATGATTAAATCTATCTTCAGCCATCGAAAGTAATTTACAGCCTTTTAAGATTTATTTCTGCATATATTGTCCCTGTGAGGTGGTGGGCATCACAAATATATTCTGTTTAATTGTTTCACGTACTCAATTCCAAGTCAAGAGCCTGATGCTCTGTATCACCAATGTATTAATTTACCTACCTTTCACCAGTTAATATACTGATTGTTCTTAGCACTTTCCTTGCACTTAACTTTTCTAATCAGTACTAGTAGACTTATTCTTTTCATTTTAGCAACTTTCTTGATAGTGCTTCTGAGAGCTCATCACTATGATCTATCCATATTCAGGCATGCAAATAATATTTTTGAAAAGAAAACATGGGAATTAATCATCATCATCAATTTGCTTTCTATGTAAACTATTCTCAGTCTCTGGAAATGTTTTGTCTTATGAATGGTTACAGATATATTCTGTCAGGTCAGCGTTCGGAATGTATCTTCAGTTTTCACCATGTGTAACTCATACACAAAACTCCCACAAGATTATTCATGTCAAAGAAATTGATTGTCTTCATATTTAAAGTCATTGTTGGGCCTGGAAGAAAAAACAAACTAACTAACAACAGCAGCAAAAAAACGTAAGCACTTAAAAGCAGCTTGCTCTCTGAGTCTTCCCTTCGGGTCTTACTCCAACTTAAAGATAGCAGTATAAATTCAGATCTACTGCTCTCCTCTGGTCTACCACGCTGCTCATATAAGTATATCGGGCTAACCAAGTATGAATTCCCTTGGGTGAATTCATACTGATGACTACTGATGATCTTCTTGTCCTTTATGTGCCTGGAAACAGTTTCCAGATTAGATGATTCAACTATAATTTTACAGCTCCTTCTTGTTGTTCTTCTACAAGATAGGAGTGATGTTTGACTTCCCTAGTCTTTATGCATTTCTCTCAGTTGCCATAATTGATAAAAGAACAGTGAGAGTAGCCTCAGAATGACATCATCCAACTCCTCATCACATGTGGAAATCCCATCAGGGCCATGGACATAAGAATGCCCAGCTCGCATAAAGATTCCCTGACCTGATCCACTTCCATCAAGGGTACATACTCCTTTTGTCAGCTTTTCCTCCTGGTCTCTGGGTCTCAGGATTCCTAAAAGCTGGTCTTGCTGGTAAAGACTGAGGCAAAGAACAGTTCTTTAGCTTTTTCCATGTCCTGTCTAACAAGGTCCTCTGTTTTACTCCAAAACCTGCCCACATTTTAGAGAAGATAATGAAATACAGGTTTCTTTTTCTTCCAGACATGAGTGCCAAGCATTGAACAGTGTAAAAGCAGCCAACCTTTTAAGGCTAAGGTACAGGGGCTGTCACTTCTCAGAAAAGAAAGTGAAGAGAAAGAAAATAGCATTTGATAGTGATTTGGCTTCACCTCCAAAGAGGACAGTCTGATCTTAAAATATCACAATAAATTGCATATTTTCAAAAGTGATTGGTGACTCTTGAAAATGAATTTATCAGTTTTTGATTTCTAAAACCTTGCGGTTTTGCTGGATTTCATTTTTCAAAGGACAAGTGGCCAGTGTGTTCTCTAAACTGAGGGTTACTTGAGGCTCTGCAAGGTGAATGGCCTGAGCATGGGGCATCCACGTTCAGGGACTGCCTCTGGAAAATGCTGTCCATTATGGACTAAGCTGTATGGGAGCAGTGGGAGCAAGTGTTCAGATAATGGAAAACCAAATCTTGTAAAATTATCACTATCTTACTGTCTCCGAACCCATTTATTTTATTTCATTTTCAATCTCAAACTGCATTAGTTTCCATATGGTAAATCCTTTGAGTTCTGCCACAGGACATATCAGATATTAAAGGCTTAATTGTGCTTTCAATACACAGCTTGAAAGTGTCAGAAGATTGTTTTAGAGAAAGTGCTTGGGAACTGTGATCATGGACCAGAAGCTGGTCCCAGGCCAGTCTTGTATATCCCCAAGTGCAATATGGTTGGCAGGTCAAATCAGAACAGAATTTGAATTTATAGATTGTATGAAATATCACTGTATTTGTATGCCTAAGAGGCACAGCTTTCTGAGTAAACAACAGACATTTCCTCTGGCTGATTCCAACACATGTTCCATGTGTCCACTCAGCCTGGCTGTTGAGAAGTGCTCTGGAAAATGTCAGTGTGTTTCTTGTGCAAAAAGGCTGCCACTTGGTTCCAATTGGCATTACAAAAACAAAAGTGCAAGCAAATTCTGATTTTCTTCAAGAGTTGTACCACAAGGCAAAATATCAGTAATAGAGGAAAGCACAGTTCATTAACTTAACTTTTATTTCCACTTACGGACAGCTCAGTCTCTTGCTGTGTGTGTGAGCATGCTCTACCTCACAGAAATCATTTTACAGTAATAGGTGTCAACAACAGTATAGTGGAAAATTCATTAAATGACAAATTACATTACATTAAAGTAACCTCATTCAGTTAAATGAATGTCTTCTGCTTTCCTTGCATGTGCCATGAATGAGCAGTTACCCAAAATACCCATACTGTTATGGTAATATAGCTTATTTTAATAAGGCTTATTATGCCTTATTAATTATTATATAGCTTATTTTTACAGTATACATGTAAAAATAATGTTTCCCTTTTGTAGGCGTCAGACTTCACTAGTATGCTGCAGAGGTGTAGAAAATAACGCTTTGGAGGCTATTTGAATTGTATCTCTCAAATTGTTTATTTATTTGTTTATTTGTTTGCAGGACTTATTTAGCAGAACATGCTGCTCATTTTAGTTGCACATCAAGCTGTTCAAACTCAGCATTTCTGAAAATTGGATAACAACAATTTAGGGCTGAACTCCATACCTCAATAACCCAGAGTTTATTGCACTATGAAGACTACTTCTGGCAGTAGGAAAGCTAGAAGACCCTTTCATCTATCTCAATATTCAGTTAGTACAGAAGTCAGCTTCCAGTTCAACACTGACTTTTGAGCTAGACAAACAGCTGTCTTACAGATATCCTCCTTTTGCATGCCATAGCAGAGAGGTCCTTCTTTTTCGCTGATAGCATCCTCATAGTAACGGATCTGTTTGGATAAAAGCATTCAGTGAGTCATGTCACCAGCTCATGGTCTGTACTGAATTTAGGCAATCTAGGAGCAAGCAAGGAGAAGCAACTAATACATTTGCTTTTTACTGTGATCCCTAAGTTACAAGGTTCGCTTTCCCTATGGGGACATCCCTATATCTCTAGTTGCTGTAATGTTCCTGTACTTGGAATCTGTACGTGTGGAAGTCTTTGCAATTAAAACTTAAAATACCACCCTCCGTGTTTCTTCCTGAGATTTTCGTGCGCACATTCTCTAGAAAGCTTGCTGAAACATTACATGTAAGTTAAAACAGGTGTTCTCAAAACCAGACCAGCTGAGGCGGTGTTGTCATGTTTCAGAGCATCTAGTGACAGCACCAGTTTTTGATGTTGCCATTCCTATCTTCCCTGGTGTCACTGGTTATGGTAGCCTGTGCCATGGCTTACCATCTGGTTTAGCTGTGTGGGATCGTATTGTGAACCACACCAGGAAATTGATACAGGTGAACAATGTTTTCAGACCGTTCCCTTCTAAGTTAGGACAGAGATGAGAGTGGGAAAGATTTTAATATGCATCTAAAAACTGTGATCAGCTGTTGTGTACTTCAGTAGTTCCCCACTGCTCAATAGCTGAGATGTGCTGCACAGCTGAGTTGCCACAAATCGCCAGTCTAGAGGAGGAAAATGCTGTCTAAACATCTCTCCGTGCTTCCAGTTTTGTTGTACTTACGTGCAGCTATTTGAATTATTTAGAACTTGGTGGAAAAAATCTGACCAATTGCATTTAGATCAATAACCACTGCTAGGGCAGAGTTAATTAGATCCCATAGGTGTACTCTTCTTACCATAGACGAGCCTTTGCTTGCTAATATGACATGAATATGTGAAATTCTTGCATTCTCCAAGCCTGATTCCTCAGTGTTACATAGTAGCTATAGGATGTTTTCACTTGATTGCTTTGAGGACGGGTTATTTTTATTTATGCCTTGGGTTCCAAGACCTGTTTCTGTCCCTTGAAAAAGCCATCGAATCCCACATACTGATCACGTGCAGCAGCATGTTGTTGCTCAGCCACCAGCTTCATGTTGTTTACTCTTCTCTTATTGCAGCAGTTCAGCTTTGTCTCCCTGCCCACGGATGTCCTGGAAATAGAAGTTAAAGACAAATTTGCCAAGAGCCGACCGATCATCAAGCGTTTCCTGGGAAAACTCTCCATGCCAGTTCAGCGCCTCTTGGAAAGACATGCCATAGGGTAATTTTGCTGCTCGTACTTTGAGTTGTTTAGGGAGTGTGCTGCCTATTTGAAGCTCTGGTGATATGTCATTATAGTTACATGATGATGTTGTGTGGGCATTATTAAACTGAGAGTTGCCTGATGAACAATGTTAGTCTGTAGTAGAATGCATAGCACTATGGGCCAACCAGTGATTTCTCTTTATAACCTTATGTTACATTTTGAAATATGAGAACTGGCATTTAGGAAAGGTTTTGTGTGTATCCTGGCCACAAATCTGGAGAGTACAATATTTTCAATTTAAACATTGTTTTAGTGCTATCAACAGGCTATTTTCATGTTTCAGAGGATTAACTCTGGGCTAAAATCTTGCCAGATCTGTTCCTCCTCCCTTTAGACAGCAGAAATGCTGTAGAAATATACGTTGTAGCTGAGTCTTTCTGACCCTCCCCTGCTGCCTAGAAATATCCAGTTCAGATTAGCAGCCCTGCCCTGCTTCCCTATTATAAGAAGGTCCAGGGATGGCGTGTGCAGCGAAAGTAACATACTCCAACTTGAGATTGATGGATAGCATGCTGACAAAGCCAAAACATTTGCTCTGAACTTTAACGTTTAGACCTTCAGGAGCAGGGAGAGAAAGAATAAGCTACTGAAGAGAGCATAGAAGATGTGGTTGCCAGGAAGGCATTTCTGAAAACTGGATCTCGGTTCAGCTGAGCAGCAGGATGATGGGCTTGTTGGAAGTGTTTTTGAACAGCTGGTTCAAAACTGGCAGTGATACCGACAGCTGAATCTACCAGAAGGGACTAAACTACATCCATGTTTCTCAAGTAGGAAAGATAGAGTGGCTTTTTAGAAACCAGATGGAAAAGAACAGCTTGGGGAAAGTAGAGCTTTGTAACTGATATCATTGGCTTCCCTCAACGTGTCATCATCATCTGATTATATCTTCCTATTTTACTTCCTTATGGAAAACACTGTCTATCAAAGGACATGCTTTGCCAAGAGCAGTGCCTCCAGCCTGTACCTAGATCTGGCTTAGTTTTGATACCACAGTAGCTTTTAAATCTCAGGCAAGCTCAATGAGAACCCACAAATTCAGAAAGATTATACATAAATCTTGACATCATCTCATTTATGTGATTTCCAATGCATGTGAAACTACTCTAGTAAATATATTTGGGCCCAACTGGGGACTGTGTTTCTTTAAAAGATATATAAATATTACTATTCAGTGAACCCTCTGCACTTAACAAATGCTTTGCGAACATTGATTCAGCCTCATTTTGGGCAACTGGGAAGTTAATCTCTTCTGTAGTTTCATTCTGTTCTGAGGGGTGGATGAAGTATGGCAAAGGGAGGGACCTGCACAAGGACAGAGTGGAATCATTGATCAACCTTGTCAGGAAGGTGTTCTCCTGATATTTCAGCTTCATAGAGGTAAGAGGGGTGGAAAGAGATGAAGAGTAGTTGTTCAATCAGCTTACAAAGAGAAGGTGGTAAGTGGGGACTGATCTGTCCAGAATTTTGAAAGTAAGTACAGGAAAGCTGAATTTTATGCAAATAATGAAGGAAAAGAAATATGGAAATGTGAGATTCTACATAAGGGTAGACATGATGAGGTCAGCAAGGAAGTCTTGTTACGATAGCTGAAGTGGGAGTTGTTTGCTTCCCATGTTGATATTTCCATGCCCATGCTGCAGAGGTTCCATTTCCACCATTCTCTCTATATGTATACATATGTGCTTGTGTATCCCAGAAGCCTGTCTGAATCACTGACTCAACTGCTCCATTGCAATTGAAGACATTGTCCTCTCCTCTGCCATTTGTTCTTTTGTATGCAAGTCAACGTGCCCTCATGGCTGGGTTGAATAGACTGAAATTCATTACGTATTTTTGTAGGACACAGCAGCTTTATCTATGGACAGTCGACATTTGGTAGGTTATAGTCTGTTGTGACAGAATTTGTTTTCTTTCAGGGACAGGGTTGTAAGCTACACTCTCGGTCGCAGGCTTCCTACAGATCATGTCAGTGGCCAGCTGCAGTTCCGATTTGAGATAACTTCTTCCATTCATCAAGGTAATTCTTAGTCTTAATGCACCCTTTTTCTAGCTCTTTTTCGGCTTTGCATTCATTTCTCCTCAGAAGTCTAGATTCTTTCCTGGCAGCTCTGAGACTTTAGGTGTAGTCATGAGCAAAGGAAAGTGCATGGAGTCTCCTGTGCACAGAATGCATCGTGAGTTGCAGTTTCTCCCCTACTTCTCTTCAGCTTACAGCTGCTACTGTGTCCTCCTGTTCTTGACTGCTTCATGTAGTCTTCCATGTCACCGGAGAGAAGAGGATGAAAAACTAAGGTCCCATCTGCTTCTCTATCACCTGTCCTGAGGTTGTTTTTAGTGGGCTATTATTTATAGAGCCATCAACATTTGAGCATTTTATGAGTAAAAGTGAATAATCCGGTAGTAAGGATGATTGAAGACTTCCTCGTTTTGACTGTTGTTAATCTAAAAAAAAAAAGTAAAAGAAATTGTATTGTTCCCCTTCAGTCACGATGGTGTCAGTTTGAATCTTGGTTTTGTCTCAATAAATAATAAATAATAAATAATAAATAATAAATGATGCTGAGGGGCTTTTTTCTTCTCTAAAGTCATGCTGTCTCTTTGTCAAGCCAAAAGCTGCATTAGTACTAGGAAATTGTGACCTGCCCCTCACTGGAAAAACATGACTTCTTTCTTCTGACTGGTGGATGGGATCAAAAAGCCCAGGTTGTCTGGCATCCGGGAGGAAATCATATCAAAGAAAAAAATCCCAGATTTCAGGGGGTTGATAAGCAATTTGTTAAATTCTCTGTTGCAAAACCTTGTCAGCTTCTGCATGACAAGAAAAATGTAACTAAAGCATCAGAGAAGGTATCCTTGTCAATACCATAATACTCCTTCCCATGCCCATTGGCTTAAAGGGGGGTTTCAGGAATGTGTTACCTTCAGGTTATATTGCAGGAAGGCAGTATGCTGCATACACAGTACCACCATGAGTAAGTCCTGTGATTGTTAAATCTACTGCACAAAGGCTGCCTAGCACAAAACCAGCCTTTTTTCAGTTAGCCACTCATTTCACTAATTTGTGTTTTATTTTTCTCAGATTGCGGCGGATGCCTCTGTCCTCAGTGCCAAGCTTCTGGTTCAGTCAACATTTTGTGTTAAAAGAGTAAGTAATTTCTTTTCCTGTCTCATACAGATGATGAAGAGGTCTCCATTAGCGCAGATCCTGAGCCAGCTGACCTCCAGGAAAGCCCTGTGAACAACCCCACAGAGGAAAGCCTCGGTGAGCCTCCATGCATCAACACAGTGACCTCAGAAAATACAGTTCCAGAAGAGCTAAATGGATACAGTGTGAACAATATTGATAGCCCAGGGGCTGTCAAGCCACCCAGGGAAGTCAACCAGAACAACATAAATGAAGAGCTAGCAGGAGATGAGGAGGTTGATGCCGTGCCGGTTCCTGAGCCCTTGGAATCCATCCGAGGAGAAGTGCTGCCTTCTTCAAATGTGACAGACCTCACGGAGCAGCTGGATCTGCTGGCTTGCGTGTCTCCTTCTGAGACTGAAGTTAGGGAAAACAGCAAAGTCAATTCTGGTACTCAGGGAGATGATGGAGAATTGAACAGCACAGAAACTTTAGATGTCAATGAGGTGAGTGCAGATGTGCATGCTGACAAAGACCTAGAGAAGAGTCAGGAAGAAGGGGCTTCAGCTCAAGAGGAGGAAGACAGCAAGCTACAGCTGAGGACCACAGCAAAGAGGAAAACAAGGCCATGCTCCCTGCCTGTGTCTGAACTAGAGACAGTTATAGCTTCAGCTTGTGGTGAGCCAGAGACTCCTCGCACTCACTATATAAGAATCCACAACCTGCTCCACAGCCTACCCTCAGCACAGATGAGCAGCGATGGGGAAGAGGAGCAAGATGCTGGCAATGGCGGGGAGAACGATGAAGAGTCCACAGTCAAGGAGGTGTTGCAGAAGGAGACAGTCAGTGAGAGTGAGACTATGGCAGCAGAGCCTCCTCCAGAAAATGAGGCCGAAGAGAACTTCAGCCAGTGCACAGTGCCTCCTGGGACCTTAGACGAGCAACTCTCTGACTTAAATGATGGGCTGGTGGATGGGGAAAACCCCAGGACAGGAAGCGAAAGCGAGTCAAGCTCCAGACCCAATGGTGACAACGAATGTGAGGCGTGCGACACCTCTTGCTACAGCCCCTCCTGCTACAGTACCTCCTGCTACAGCACTTCCTGCTACAGCACGTCCTGCTACAGCACCTCCTGCTATGACAGTAACAATCGCTTCTCCAGCCATACGCGCTTCTCCTCTGTTGACAGTGCAAAGATTTCTGAGAGCACGGTCTTCTCCTCTCAGGATGATGAGGAGGAGGAGAATAGCGCTTTTGAATCGGTGCCAGACTCAGTACAGAGCCCTGAGCTGGACAGGGAGCAAGTGGATGGCTCCTCCCAGTGGCCAGATGAACTAGTAGCACATGGTGGGAATCCACAACTAGCCACAGAAAGTCTAGACACCCCAATAGCAGGTCCAAGCAGCAGAAGAGAAGGTTAGATCCTGAGAATCAGTGCGCTGAGCAGCCCTGATTATCTGGATGTCACAGAAGGCATCAGATAATCAAGGTTTCAGATAGCTCATGGCTTATTTCATAAAAACTTGGGGTCTCTGAGTTGGGTGATATTTTAGGGAGGGTTGGATAATTGAGCCTGTCTTTATATATCCCAGCATATACAGATGGGGGATCTGTATATATGGATTCCTGTAGATATACATGCATCATTATAAAATCAAGATTAGCTGAAGTTATGTGGCAGACCAGCATTATCACATCCACCAACCAATTCCTTATTTCTTGGGATTGTTTCATTTCACATATCTGATGTACTGCCATGTCTCTGCTAGACAGTGAGAGGACCAGCTTGTGCTTGTCAAGGAGCAGACATGCTGATTTACTTCAGCAAAGGATCTGGGCCAGTGTCTGTGTATGATATACACTGTCATGTATGTGGAGAAAAGCAAATGTTTCGAAGTTAGAAATGAAACAAAACCTGTTTAGTCAAATTTCCCAATAATTTTTTTTTTTTTCAAACAAATCTACATCAAATTTCGCAGACCGTAGGGCAACTCAGAATGCTTTTTTTTTCTGAGACTGAGCTATATCCAACAAAATTCTTGTCTTATCTTTCTCTAGAGATAAAATATAATTTAAAAAATCACTTCTGTCTTCACAACGTAGATATTCTTTTTCCCAATCTTTCCAAACCTCAACATTAAATATACACCTTTGGTAAGTTGTTTTACGTAATATGGAGTTACATGAAGGGTGGATTTGATTACTCATCTTTGGTTCATTTATCATTTTTCTCAGGCTGAGAAGTGAAGGCCTCAGCGGCTGCTATGGTCAAGTGTAGAATTTGCATTCCCACATCCTGAGTCAGCTGTCCCCTGGTATAAGTGACACCAAATGTAAACAGCACTGAGAGAATAACATAATTGGCGATCACTAGGAAACTCCAGCTAAAGCATCCTTGTGCCTTTTCATTGTCCATTCCCACTTCATTTACCCCGATCTTTCACTGCTCTTGCTGAAGGAATGGCGTAAGGGGACTGTTAAATCCTTGGTTCTAACCCTAACAATTCTCAGAAGTACAGAGAGAGATAGAAATCCTCAGCAAGGTGGACCTTCCTTGCAGGTGAGGGACTTTGTATACCCAGGAGGGCATGAGTGTGTGTGTGCATGAGACTATTCTTACAGAATTGATGGTTGCTTTGGACCATGTGCACTTCTGAGAGCGGCTTTGGGGAGAGGATGTCTTCTGCATATGGACTCAGTATGGTTACAGAATTTGTCTCTCAAGTCTGTATAAAGCTCAGCAACTTTGTTTTGGCTGCCTGAAAGAGAGAATGTCTGAAAGGCAGCCCTGCCCTTAGCACTCCTTTGGTATGACCAGGGGGTACTTCAGTAAATGTGCATGCTGATCCATGGTTTGGTGGCTGTTACAAATACAGTAGATGTGGTCACCTCCATCCACTCCAGGTGACTGACACTACCATGATTCCACTGGCGTAACTGCCATGACTAGGGGAGAGTCAATTATGGTGAGGTAAGTAAAGAAACATAGATAGATGTTCTGGTAAATTGTGCCACAGCACCTGTAGAAACAGCACAGATTTTAAGTCTGTGAAAGACAGACTTTTAGCATTGAGTAATAACTTAGATAACTCTGCAGTCTGTTCAGAACACACAGCAGATATGACCATTAGATATGCCTGTGCACAAGAGTTTTAATGGAGAAATTTAAGATGCCATAGAGGGAGTACTTTTGATAAGTCTTTTTTCTCACTTCTGGATAGTGTGAGATTTTTTTCAGCTTTATACAAAATTAGTTTCTGCCTTGTAGCTGTTGTTTGTGTATGTTTATTTTTAGGCATTTTTTAATATATTTGATAGCAGTATGTTATTTTTTACAAACTGTTCTTTCTTGGGGCATTAAAATAACACTGTTAAAGACAGCTAAACCGACACAGTTTGGTTCAGATGATTGGTCTGATTTTAATTTTATCCTGGTATAATCTTGGTTTCTAAGGTTTTAAGAACAGAATGAGAATGAATCTGAATTCTTTTTATCTTGCAGTTTCCTCATTCTCATAGTTAAGTCTAAGATGAGGAATAGTTTTTCTTCCTTACAATGAACTTCTTCATATCTTAAAGGATTCTATAAAAAATATCTGGATCTGAAGTTGACTTTTGAAGTTCCTCTCAAAAGAACATGAGTTTGGACATTTACTTAGATTTCACTTATTTCATATGCAGATAAGTAAGCATATATACAGCATTACTGTTTTCTAAAAACTACCGTTACACTGTCCACTGTGTTTCAGTTTTCCTTCTTTTCTTCTTCTGTATCTCAGGTCTTCTCTCTTTACCTCAGGTCCTGACTACGTTTCACTATCTTTTGTCCTCTTCTACCACCTGTCTCCTATTTGTTTCTGGTCCTTGTCTCATTCTCTCTCCTCCCTCCCAAGACCAACACTTTGAATTTTGAAAAATATCTGTAGAAGGAAGTGCTCTTCTGCTTTACAGGGACTGCATAATTCTGCCACTCCAACCTATTCATACAGTTGCTGATCCTTTAGAAAAGCAGAGGAAGATTCAAGGCAGATTTTAGCCTCATATTTTGCTGGTGAGAAAAGTTGGAGCCAGCATTTTGCATGTTCCTGTCCAATTTCTGCAGAAGCTTGAGCTGTACTATATTTCTCAGAGATCAAGCCTGATTCTTCTCTCGCTTACACTTGTGTGTCTATGAGTCCAGAATCTGGCCCGTAATAGATTAGCATTGGCTCAAACCTGAGACCGGAGCCCTGACTGCATTATTTTCCTAATTCTTTGGTGTGTGAATTGTTATTAAAATAATGCCTGGGAATAGGAATAACTAGAGCTGCAAGTATACCAGGAAAACCTCTGTGACAAATAATCACTTGTTTTACAGTAGCACGTTTTTTGAACCATGTTGTGAAATCAGTGAATGACTGTCAATATCTTGAATATCTTGTCCATAGGTGATTGTCCTTTACTCCATAATTCTCAGCCAGTCAGCCAGCTTCCTTCTCTGAGGCCTGACCATCATCACTACCCAACTATCGATGAGCCTCTTCCACCAAGTAAGCTTTAGCATTTTTTAACTTATTATGTTTTTTCAGCCTTTCCTGTTAATTCAAACAGTGTAGAGGTCAGTATGTCTTTCTATATAACCCCATCTGTTCTGTACATACTTTCTCCAGAATCCAAGCAATATGGTCTTTTGTTTCCCGTGTTTGACCCTGACTTCAAGTGTTGTCGTGTTATTTTGGACAAACTCTATAACATCCCTTTGCCTTGATCCATCCTCTTCTTTGCCTACCATGAAATGAAAATTGTAGTGTTTTCCTCATTCCAGTCAATATTGTGAGATTGGAATGAATAGGTATCTGTCAGGTGTGCTGGAAGCCTTACAAAAAAGCTTTTGGTTTATCAGCAAATGCTGTGTTTTTGTTGTTGTTTTTTTTTTTTAAAGTTTGTCTTCAGGTTTTTCTGTAACCCAATTCAAACATAACTTGGGATGCACTCCCTGTGCTCAGTCAGCCCAGCTTTCAGGTCCAGCACAGCTTTTGCTCAATCAGGACGCACCAGGAACAAATAGCAGGTCCAAATGATTCTGTGAAAGGCAGCTCACGCACGGTGATCCGATCACGCTGTTTTTTGATTTGGTGATCAACTTAATGTTCTCCTCATTGTGGAAGGAATGACATCTGCAGTTGAGATGAATAAAAATCAGAGATTTTTAAGTAGAGTAGCCAACTAGCAAGCTGACAATACGGGACTGTTAGCACTGTGTCTACTGCTGAAGGTGTTTTCACTTGTCTTAGTACCTTTTCCCTTGTGTACCTGGAGGGTTACTCTGCTTTTTACATTAGCTCTAACTGCCCAGCAGAGTGCAGTCTACGCCCTGCGACGTGCTGTGAATCAACTTGCAACTTCAGCACGTGATTTACAGCCCCAAGCGTGCAGTGCCTCAGAAAAACAACCAGGCACGTAAACAAAGCACTCTGTTTTCTTCACAGCCTGAGGAGGGAACTTGTCCTGTGGTGCCCTTGAAAATAATTCATCATTTGCCAGCCACGCTGTCAGTATTCTGTAAGCTGAGTATAGTCCTGATGCTGGCGTCAGCTGCACAGTGGCATGAATGATTCAAATGCCTTGAGCCCAATGAAGTCTTATTAGAGTCCCACTGTGGCTTGCCAGTGAATGATGAAATAGGGAATGGTTACCTCTGTAACAGGAAAATACTTTTCTTCCTCCCACTCTTACCTCAGTGGTTTGTGAATAGGGCACATTCCCAATTAGATGACTTAATGATAGGACACTGACACCACCTCAGGTAAACAAAATGTACTGTGAATCCACGTCCCATATTCATCCATCACCAATTCAATACGCTTTTCCTCTTTCTTGTAATTATCCTTGAAAGGCAAGTATTTTTACAATTGATTTTCATGAGTGCTTTCACAGCAGAGGTTAAATATATGAAAAGCAGTGTATGGCAACATAGTTTAGAAGTGATATCCCTTTGTAGGATTTTATTGTGTCATCTGCTTATAACATCATTTTACCAATAAAGGCTTGAGACTTTGTATAAAGGCTTTGAGACCTAAGTATATTGACTTTAATGGGAATAGACTCTACTAAGCTAATTTTATGGGGAGAAAAAAGTTGAATTAGATAATATTACCTAAGAAGGCAGTGCTAAGTGCTCTTAGTGAGATTTCAAAATTGTTTCAAAAGGAAAGCTATAGTCTTATTCTACAAATATTTCTTTTTCTAGTATCCAGTATCACTGTTTCAGTGCTTTTAATGCCTCTTAATCACAATTAACTTATTCTTGAATGGAAATGAAAGGAAAAAACTTTGTATTTTAAGCATGTTATGTGTACAAGCCTGACTTGCTTCTTACATGTAACGTTAACCTCTCCACATTGTTGAAGATAATGTTGTCAGAGCTGCAAAATCATTGCTGACTGGTTTTATATTGGCTGTGGATAATTCTATGGTCAGTCCTTTTTCTCTTTGGAATAGTTTTCTGAATAACTTCATTTCATCAGAACTGCACAACTATTGATACTGGGGAGGAAATTTTGTTTCAGACAGCTTTGTTTAGGAAAGTAAGCTAGACCAGATTCATTGTTTATTTAGGAATGTCATAGTGACCAGCTCAAATGTTAAAGCCTATATGAGATTGACAGGAGATCTGCAGAGCTTGTATTGCCTTCTGATGGCATTAATGCTCACCCCTTATTATGCATGTGTTTTCTAGTACTGCTACATGCCTTACAGAACTGGAGCCAAGAAAAATGTATTTGCCCTGTTCAGCGCTCCTCTGTGCAAAAGGTGGCTGAGCTTGGAAAGGGAAAAACAGCATTTTTACTTTGCCACTCCAGGATTATGGGCTTGCCAGAAGAGGTTTCATCTTCTCGTATAAATCAGAACAGTTTCAGATGCTGTTGCAATATATGACTCATCTGATGGAGGGGGATCACTAGAAAACAAACAAGTACTGACCCATCTCCACTCTCTGCTTAAGTGTGCTACTTCTGTGAAGGTTAGATTAAGGTTAGTCTCTGTTGTAGTCACAGTTTTATTTTGCCTGAGAAAGTAACAAAAAGGCCTGACGAGAATTGGCTGCTTCCTAGATTACCTATGCCCCTGAGGTAACATGAAGAGACTTGAGCATAGCCCAAAACCTGAGTCCTGTCTGTCGGTTCACCTGTCAGCCTGTTCATCTCTCTGTGCAGGTATCTATCCATCTGTCCACAAATCTGGTATTGTATGCAGCTTCAATGACTTGTATGACTTACTGGTTGTCTTGTGGGAAGGCAGAAAGTGCACCTGACATCTTTGTGCAACCAAAATACCAGCACCTTCCACCCTTCAACAGACTTCCCAGGTGATGAGAAGAATAGCTCTTCAGCTGATTTTAAAAGCTGTTGCAAGATCAGTACTTATCTAGGACCACTGCGGAAGTCCCAAAAGCCATGTGGCACTGTTCTTAATATTATATGACTGCAACTGTCAGCATGTGGTTTCAGGTGCATAGACACATTCAGCAATGAATGAAGCAGTGCTCACAGTTAGACAGAGGTAGTTCATGGCTATACATAATACTGCAGGATGTCTGATGCATCCTGCAGAGATGGCCATCCTGAAACTACAATCCAGTCTGCACAGTTCTGACCTGAAATTTTCACTGTAACTTTCAAGCTCTGAAGTTTTGTTACTCTTGGATTTCTAAGGATTGTACTTAGAAGCTTAGGAACTCTGAATTACATTTAATTAGAGATACACTGCAAGATAGGCTCTGGAACCAGTAATGCACAGGGCTGGATTATGAGAAACTCAAGATTTACATTGTAAGTGGGTAATTTTATTCTTAGGAAGTGTCTATCAGCAGGCTCTCGATCAATATTGATGTCTTCTACATAGACTGATAAGAGTGTGGCATTACCTATAAATCCCTAATTATCCATTGAGATTTATTGTTCTCATCTTGCACTGTAGTGTGAAGTAATGACTAGGACAGCAAGAACTTCTTAGTGATTTTAAGGTACAACATGTCATCTTTGTTCTGGCCAAGATAATTTCCTTGTGCAGGATGTTGCAGATAGTGCGTGGCTCCAGAGCAGCCATGGTGGTACACTCACCACTAGTGACAGCATGCGTGTTAAGGCTTTGGCCTTCAACCTGCCCTGTCAAGTCTGATTTCATTCAGTGTGCATCTGTTGTGCTTGATGTGCTCTTTTTCACCGTTTGGTTTAGACACTGTTTTCATGAAGCTATGTTCTTGTTCTTGATACAGCTACAACATCCTTGAGAAAACCTTACCCAGTTGGATAACCAGAGAGCCCTCCCCTTAAAATTATGTGATGTTCACAGACTGTATGTATGTACATGTGCTGTTAGCATAGTTTTTGCACCTATAATTACCGAAGTACTTACACAGACAAGTCTAAAAGAAATAATGCATGTGTATGAGGCTCTTGCTGTTTTGAAGTCTCACAGAAAATCTCTCTGAGGACTCTTGGTGTCCTTTTCCTGGAACTAACGTGCCACGGGCTTCCAGCCACAGACTTAAGACAGCCTACACTAGGATAGGACCAGTCCAGATATGGGAGCTGAGTTTAGCCATAGCTGTTATTCTGGAGAGGGAAACTATGAAGGATGGGTTTCCAGACACATCATGGAAAGATACAGCTTCAGTTCTACTCATAGAAGTAGTAGCAGATAAGATGTAAAGAATGAAGTCCATCTGAACCTGAATTTGGTCGTAGGAAAACATGGAAGGAATGGTCTCTCCAGTTAGAGTAGTCATAGTGAGAGTATGGGAATAACAAATAGTTTTACCCCCCAAAGGTAATTACCATACGTGCATTTGTGTGTGAATATGAGTGAGGTTTGTATATAAACACATGTAGAAAGTATGTGTTTATACATAGAAATGTCATCAGCTCATGGGCAATGTAGAAATATGAAGCTAGCAAGTCAAATTTGTATCACAACTCCATACATTCCAAGCAATCCAGTGTGGAGCTTTGTAAAGTAATTCACTTCTGAATTTCCCCTGCACAACCCTTTTTTTAAATCAATATTACCATTTTCCACAAACCATCAGAACATTTAGTTGTCAATCCTGGGATAACTTAAACATTAAAAGGAGACAGTGATTGAAGGCTCAATATTATTCTTCAAACTTTCAGTCAAGTTGTCATTCATCAGAGCACTAGGTTTATGAAAATCATTTGTGTATATCTACAGAGATTTGTACGGATATGTCCAATCAGGCTGTGATCAGTTTTCAGGGGAGCCAATAATTGTAAGAAACATGTGTAAGCATGTTTACTGTGAAACATAACAAAGCAGAAAACATGGGTTTGCCACATTAACTCAGATTTAATCCTTCTTTGCTAAGTGTCAGCTCTTTGTGGCTGCCCTGACCTGTAATGAATCCAGCCAGCTATTAGTAGTAATTGTAAAATTATCCAGCCTTTTAAAACATGTGTTTTTCTAGTCTATGATGGTGAATTCCATAGGCTACCTATGTACTGTGTGTGAAATATTTATGTATATGCATATACAATATATGCATATAGAGAAACACATAATATATATATGCATTTGAATATATATGTTGAATATATATACATATATTGCACGCATATAGGCATGTATATAGTATCTATCGTGTATGCATATCTTCTCTCTGTGAATATATATGTGTGTGTTTTTGTATTCCCCCACATAACTTTTTGGAAGACATCATGCTGACAGCATGTTCCCTTCCTTTTCTTCCAACCCCAGATTGGGAAGCTCGGATAGACAGCCACGGGAGGGTGTTCTACGTTGACCATGTCAACCGAACTACCACATGGCAGCGCCCCACAGCTGCAGCAACACCAGATGGGATCCACAGGTCTGGCTCTATCCAGCAAATGGAGCAGCTGAACCGGCGGTGAGCACTTGCATCTCTATTCTTCTAAGATCCACAGCCTCTTTTCTCAACAACACCCCAATAACTTCCTTCCTGGAGAAGAGAAGGCTACAAGGAGACCTCATTGCAGCCTTCTAGTACCTAAAAGGAGATTGTAAAAAGGAGGAGAATCAGTTTTTTTTACATGGGTAGATGGTGATAGGACAAGGGGAAATGGTTTCAAGCTCAAGAAGGGAAGGTTTGGATTGGATGTCAGGGGAAGTTCTTCACAGAGAGTGGTGAGGTGCTAGAGCAGACTGCCCAGAGAGGTTATGAAAGCTGCATCTCTGGAGATGTTCAGGACCCCCGGGCAACTTAGTCTAGTACCAGATCTGGAGGTTGGTGGCCCTGCCTGTGGCAGAGGGGTGGAACTTGATGTCCCCTGGGATTCCTTCCAACCCAAGCCATTATATGATTCTATTATTCCTTTCTCACTGAATCCCATTGGCTTCCTAAGCTTCTTTCCTTGTCCAAATGCAACAGACATCTTCTCGTCCTGGCTGCTGCTGATTTTCCGATTTCGTGTACCTGCTGTGGGTATCCAGTACACAAATTTGCCCACATGAGGGGTGCTGTTCAGTGAAAGATGTTTCAAAACTTTTGAAACTGTATGAAGAGTCCTTTGAAGAACTTTCTCTGAAATTACTCCTGAAGGAGAAAGAAATGTTCTTCCAAAAGATGGAGTTACTTTTTCTGTTTAACTCTTAGAGTGGTACTCATGGCTCAGCACCTAGCACTGCACTGCAGCAACTACAGAGGTTTCTGTTATGACTGTTCTTAAAACAGTGTTTCCTTATCGGTGCAGTTTACATATCTACTCAAGCTAGTTAGACCCACTGAAAGGTTTGTCTCTTTTTCCAGGGCAGAGCACTGCTCTAGTAGAACTGTACATATTTCCAGATAGAGACAGATGTCTTAATGTTGTAATAGGTGCTGTAAATCTGTCAGTTCATTTTTTGCTAGCTCAGATGTATCTTAGTATGACACACCTTTTCCCTTTGTTTGTTATGGCATTGGTCAACAAGGGAAAGGCAATCTGGACTTAAGCAAGACTTTTGACATGGTTCCTCACCACATTCCTATTTCCAAATTGGAGGGATATGGATTTGATGGATGGACCACCTGACAGATAAGGAATTGGATAAAAGGCCGCAGACAGAGGGTGGTGGTCAATGGCTCTGTGTCCAGGTGGAGGCCGGTAACGAGCGGCGTCCCCCAGGGCTCTGTGTTGGGACCGGTGCTCTTCAACATCTTCATCAGTGACAGCGATGGTGGAATTGGGTGCACCCTCAGCAAGTTTGCTGATGACACCAAGCTGAGTGGAAGGAAGGGATGCCATTCAGAGGGACCTCAACAGACTTGAAAGGTGGGCAGGGTGAACCTGATGAGGTTCAACACAGCAAAGTACAGAGTTTTGCATTTGGGCTGGAGGAATCTCAGGCATCCATACAGACTGGAAGGAGCGGTCCTTGAGAGCAGCCCTGCAGAGAAAGACCTGGGGGTCTTGATGGATGAAAAGCTTAACATGAGCCAGCAGTGTGCATTGCAGCTCAGAAAGCAAATGGGATCCTGAGCTCCATCAGAAGAGGAGTAGCAGCAGGGACAGGGAGGTGATCGTCCCCCTCTGCTCTGCTCTTGTGAGGCCCCATCTGCAGTGCTGTGTCCAGGTCTGGAGCCCCCAGTACAAGAAAGACAGAGAGCTGTTGGAGAGGGTCCAGAGGAGAGCCATAGAGATGATCAGGGTGCTGGAGCACCTTCTCTATGAAGACAGGCTGAGGGAGCTGGGCTTGTCCAGCCCAGATAAAAGAAGGCTGCAGGGTGACCACACTGCAGCCTTCAGTACCTAAAGGGAGCCTACAAACAGGAGGGGAGTCAACTCTGTGAAAGGGTAGATAACGGCAGGACAAGGGGAAATGGTTTTAAGTTGAGAGAGGGAAGATTTAGGTTGGATTTCAGGGGGAAGTTCTTCACAGAGAGAGTGGTGAGGTGCTGGAACCCAGAGAGCTCCAGCACAGAGAGGCTGTGGATGCCCTGTCCTTGGATGTGTCCAAGGCCAAGCTGGATGGGGAGCTGGGCAGCCTGGGCTGGTATTAAATGTGGAGGTTGGTGACCCTGCCTGTGGCAGGGGGTTGGAGCTTGATGATCTTTGAGGTCCCTTCCAGCCTGGGCCATGTGGATCTGTGATTCTGCATCTGGTCTAGAAATAAATTTGTTTATCATTTTTATCTCTTGCTCGCTTCTTGGACTGAATTTAATAGTGGTTAAAAATCCTCCCTTTTTACTTCAGACAATTTTTTTTTAAGTCCCTGCTTACTGTAATGGTATGGTGTCTTTTCTAGACAAGCAAAGCTGAAATTATGTTCTAATCATAGCATGTAAAATGCCACAAGAGTTTTTTGGTCTTTTTCTCTGTGCTCGGAGAAAGTTCTGCAGCTAAGAGAAAAATACAAAGTTTAAAAGTATTGTTTTCATTGTGCAGAATAGTTTTGGAGTTACTGTATGTCAGGAGAACTGGGTTCTGAATGACAACAGAAGAGTTGATTTAACTCTTGGGGAGTACTTCTGTCTTCTTAAAGTCGTCATTGTACACTGAAAGTTGACAGCATCAACTCTTTCTTGAAATAAAATGTAGCATTTCATAATGTGCATCATGTCTTGTAGAGGTGAAAGAACCCTTACAGCTTTCTTCAGAAGGCATCAAGCTACCATGTTAATATTAAAAATAAAAAAAGAAATTAAATCCCAAAGAGTATGCTTAATCCAGACTTTTTTTTTCAAGGCATTTACATGACTCTCCTCTACCATTTTGTGTTTGTCTTTAAGAGGGATTTGGATTATGTGAAAGCTCAGAGTATTTGACTGGTGATAAGCAAGTTTTCTGCCTCAAAACGCTCTGTTGTGGGTATACATCAGATTTTTTTTTTGGAAGTTGAACTCTCATGTAAGTGCAGCACAAGACAGAAATAGGTGTTGGTGAGGCTGCTTTTAGGAGTGTACCATTCCTTTAGCTAACACAGGTTAGTTCATAAACCAACTATCTCAGATACTTCAGAGTTTGTACGTTTGTGACGTCCTTGCTAAAAACTTCCTTCTGTATTTTCTTGTAGTTTGTCTGGCTTCCAAATTTTATGACTTGTCACTGGTTTGGATTGGTAATTGAGTGCTAATAGGTCTAACATTTTTCACTGAATCTCTCTATTTTTGGTATTCAGAAATTCAGTTACAAAGTCAAAAGTATAGAAGATTTTCAGTAGTGACATAGCTCTCTTTATCTGAATCCCATTGCAGACCACGCATTTTGTAGTAAATATAAATTGCCATGGGTTCTTGGGACAAAGGATAAAAAACCGATGAATCGCTGCTCTCTGTTGAAGAGCTCTCTTGATTTAAGATGCTGAATAGGGAGTTCTCCTGTTGTTTCAAAGTGTGGGAACAAAAATTTCCAAAGATTCTGATAAACGAGGCTCATGCTGAATACTCAGTTAAAAGAAATTGGGCATTTGAGAATTGGAAAGTGATTTCTGCATTTCAACCTGGCTGCTTGAATTTATAAAATTGTCATTGCAAATTTCAAACATTTCAAGTCCTCAGATTTCTGTGTCATGAGGAAAAGAAGCTTTCATAAATAGTAAATGGAAAGCATTATAGTAGGCATTGTTTCAAATTTTAGAAATACTGGTTTGTTGTGTTTCAAACTTCATTGTTTGAAACAGTCTTCAGCAAACACACCTGAAAATAATTTTAGGTGAGGCAAGAGCAAACACGGGGCTTGCAGATAGGATTGCCAGCAGCCTGAACAAAGTGGAACTCAAAACCACTTAATTTGAAAAAACTTGGCCACTTCTCTGTTTGAACCAGTTTACTCAGCTTCCTGGTTTCATTTCTGGGAGGGAATGGAAAAACCAAAATATTACAAGGAAACCTGGTATTTCTAGCTCTGCCAAAACCACAAAGCTTCGGAAATTTAGCTTGGGAAAAAAAGAAAAAAGAAAAAAAAAAAAAAACCACATGGCTGTAATTGCTCAAATCCAGGAGCTTCATCCGACTTTCTTTCTGTGCTCAAAGCTGCTCGTTAGCTATGCTAGCCACTTCAGAATGCAGAGACAGCCGTAATTTTTAGTGTAAAGACTGTTGCTCATTTTCTTCAGCAGTACCTGACTCACTGACTTCTTAGCAAAGCAGTTAATAGCCACTGCTGCTCAAGCTCTGTTGGGAAGATCTTTTGAAGCATATGTATACCTAGACTTGTTTTTGCACTAGTTTAAGAAGTAATAAATAACACAGGAAATTATAACTGTGTAGTTAAGACAGCTTCAGAGTGGCATTTCTAAGCCTCTATTTCTTTGACACATCACTTTGAAAAGACTGAATTTCCAGAGGCATTCCCATAACCTTTGCCCTTTCAATATTTTCTCCAATTACTTTGACATGTTCTACTATTTATATAAGATAGTTTTATAGTACTGACACCTCCAAAACATGGTTTGTTTGTTTGTTTGTTTGTTAGTTTTTGTGGGCAAACAGCTAGTACTACTGTTCAAGGTTTGACAGTAGGAATTTTCTACTATCTAATTAAACCGAAGCTGCAAGTTTTTTTATTAATGTGCTCATATCCCTCGATTACATGAACTCCTTAAAAAACATGTATATTGCTGATGCATGTGAGTGTCGTAAAACTCCTCCAGTAATGGAATGGAAAGTTCATTCAGTTGCTCGTAGTCAAGTGAATAAAATTGTAAAGTGTGGGTCTAAATCAGAGGGACATAGCAACTAAGGTAAATTTGTGCAGTTATGAAATCTGCTATCAGAATTTCTTCACAAAGCTGGATGCTGACTTGAAAATAGAACACCCAGTCTTTTTGTTTTTTATCTTCTAAATTTGTTCTTTATTGAGCTTTCAAATGATACAGTAAATGCAATTTTAAATGCTTTTGAATGCTGAGGGATATAAATACTACTCTGAAAGTTAAAACCTAGCTGTTTTTTCTTAATTGTTTACAGCTCATCTGCCCAAAGTTGAGTTGCAGTAAGCTGTTGGAGGTACTCACTGTCAACTGAGAGTGTAAAAAACAAATCCTCGTTGTCTTTACTGATCCCAGGACTATTTAAGGAACTAACTCCTGAGCAATTTTCTATTTAGAGTAAAATGTAAATTAACAAATAAAGAGAGGGAGAGAAAGTAATTAGAAATTCTAAGTCAGAATATGAGATGAGAAAATAAAAAGAGCGTAAGTCAAGAAAATGGGAGACAAGCAATGTTGGATCAGATTAAATGCAAGCCATAGAGCCAGTCTTGTTTATCTATGTTTGAGGATACAATCCAAAAGCATGGATTAAAAATATCGAAGTGGATTAAAAGCTAATCAATTAATTAACAGGACCTATTTCTTTCTTTCCCTTTCTATTTCTTCTTCCTTCTTTTCTTTCTCTCTGGATTTAAAAATACATTTTCTTATTCAATAAATAAAAATATTTACATTCATGGCTTGCTAGTAGAACCAAAGAAATCTTGATCTCTCTTCTTATTCAGTTGTCTGTGTGAGTGAACGAGTTAACTAGAATTGATTTTGTGTAGTGCCTATTTGAAACACTCCTGATTATTTCCACAGCCAGGTCTATACTTTGTTCCTGATCTGGTAAAGTATTTGAGATTTGAATAATCTCTGAGAGTTATTAGACCTACTAGCATCAATTAATGTGGCAATTAGTTCCATAATTAATGTGGAAATTATATAGTTTTTGAAGGCATTTGCAGGTTTCAGTTCAGCATTTACTTCTGTTGTCCTTCTCACTGTTTTTTGCTTATGTCTGTATTGTTTCTTCTCTCTTGTTCTGTAGCTGGTCAGCACCCAGTGCAAGCTAATACGCAATTCCATTAATTTCCATAAGTGGACATTACACATTGTTGTGCTTTTCACTCAGGATGTATTGCATCCTATTCTCCTCTTCTACAGTCATTTTAATGAGATTGTTGCTCTCTGAGTTCATACAGTCTACTAGGCTACATTCCATACTGTCTACCAAAACACAAGCGTTCTCAACTGGTGGCCATGCTATACCGTCATCCACACTGTGAACACTTCTACCTTTTTAGGGTTTGAATCCTTAACCAATTTAGGGTTGAACATATTGTATTGATATTGTAATAAGCAAGGCTGAAGGGCATCAGTGCACCGTGCTACCGTATGACTAAATGAGAGAGAGAACCATGATCCACTAATATTTTTAGGTTCCAGGCATCTGGATTATTTAAAGAGAATCCTAATGGAAATTTGTAGCTCAGGTACCTTTGTGAACTTGACCTTTGAGTCTCCTTTGCCTTTCAATGTAGCTATGCAGCTCAAAATGCCAGATTTTGGGTTGGTCTCAGGTGTGAATATCACTTCAAGGGGGGAATCCAGTGTGCTCCTTACTCTGCTGTATTCTGAAGGTAAAAGTATTGGAATCATTGAAAAACAGCACTGATTATCAAGACAGGAAGTATCAGAATGCTATTCTGTTAACTAAGACACGTCGTTCCTTTCTCTAAATGTATGCAGATACCAAAATATCCAGCGAACTATTGCAACAGAGCGGACTGAAGATGATGGCGTAGTAAACAACAGGGTGGAGAGAGTTCCCACTGGAGGAGGAAGTGACTCTGAGGCAGAGCCTTCCCAACCAAGCTCAGGTATGTCAGAATAGCTATGGAGGGCATGTTCTGTGCTACTCAGTGTTGGCATTCAGTTTCGAGGAGTGCTGAGGACTAGAATGCCAGCTAATTAAAAGAAAAAAAGGTTTAGCCATGAAGCTACGATCACAAGGACAGATAAAAAGGTGCTTTTTTTTTTTTTAACAACTATTAAGACGGAGCATTTTTATTTTAAGGAAGGACAGTTTTAAAATGAAATGGAGATGGTGTCTATTTTTGTTCAATGCAGTATAAAAACCTCATTGTTTTATTTTTGCTGCGCTGTGATAAACTGTGGGTCTTTCCGTTTATTGTTTCTGGGCACGGTTTCTGCACTGCTACATTTCTTTCTGTGGACACACCTGCAGTGGCCCTGCCATGGAGTATGGAATATTTGAGGTTTTTTTATGGCTACAGCTTTGTAATAGCTATTAGCAAATCCAAGTCTGGGCTGCCACTGAAGGAGGCACAGCTGTATTTTTACACATCACTAACTATATGACAGTGTCTCATAACAGAGCAGGGAGCTGATCTATTTGAAAACTTTCTTGTGGTTAAAGCTCTTTGTAGCCAAATTCTTCCACTTGGCTCATTAGAACTAAACAAGAACTACTGCCAATGTGAAGGAGAAGAAGAGAATGTGTATCCAGAGAAGGATGGAACAGGCAGGGAGCTATTCCAGTCTTTTTTGGTGGCAGACATATTTCTTTAAAGCAGTTGCAAAACCATCAGCTGTTTTTATTCAGATAAGAAACATCAACAGTCAGACTAATGTTCATGTTTTTTGTGGACCCACAAAAATAGCTATCTGCTTTCTTTGAGAAATTGTGCCACCAAAATGAATACAAAGTTCTTTTCCATTGGGTCATTCTCACCCTCCACCTAGGGTTGTCTTCCATGTTTGCCAAAGTAAGTATCTTCTTGCCATCCTTGTGTAAAATAGCATTGGCAAAGGGAAAGATTCAGCTTATCTACTTGAATTTTCTGAATGTTCCATACTGAAGAAGAATTCTTCTCTCTAAAATCAACAGTGAGTGAAACCAGTCAGGACCTGAGTAACAGCACTGAACTAAACAGACAGCTGGTAAAAGCTGTTGTGGTCAAACTGTTATTTAGAGATGGCAGTAGTTATGAGCCAGTGTTTTTTAACATCCAGGAGCATCCAGCTCCTGCCCTGTGAGTACAACAGCACTAACCATAACACCTACAGTTTTGCCAACAGACTCGTCTTGGAAACGCAAGGAGAGTAGGTGCAGGGCAGGATGGTGACATTTTTGTACAGTCACTTTTGTAGCCAAAGTAGAGACCAGATAACAGACAGTCTTTGCCACTGTTAATAAAATTGTGGTTCTTTTGGTTTCTGTCCAGAGATTAGAAGGGAAGGTTCCCTTTCTCCTGTGAATTCTCAAAAAATCACCTTACTGCTGCAGTCTCCAGCTGTGAAGTTTATCACCAATCCTGAGTTCTTCACTGTGCTGCATGCAAACTATGTGAGTAATTACAATTTGCTTTTTCTGAGTCCCAGTATTGTGCCCGAGGCCTTCAGGGAGAATGCACGGTGAATTCGAATTGTGTGACTTGGGGTTTGGTTGTTTGTTCTGAGCACAAGGCCAGGTTGAGGACTGCTGCAAGAAAAATCTTGCTAGGATTCTGCCACACACAGGGAATTCCCTGGCACAGAGAAGCTTATTAATTTTATTCTTCCAGAATAAGCAGGAACCCTTGATTTCAGGTTGATGATTCTGTTGTCTGTTCCTGCAGGGAGTTAGGTTGTTACCTTTGGAGCCATGTTCATGAGGAACCTCACTCAGATTGCAAAAAAGTCTCAGGGGAACAGAGAGAGGGGAAAAGTTATTAACTCCAGTTTGCACTCTCAAGAAGCAGGTAGGCATAAAGCAGTGAAAGAAATTCTGACTCGAGTCAGTGTAGTTATTTTGGAAAAAAAGAAAAGAACATTAAAATAACTTCTCTTTTTTTTTTTTTTTTAAATTAATACGGTAAATCTGTATGTTTTGTTACAAACCTGATGTGGAGTGGAAAAAGTTTAGTGGTAGGTTTACCACAAGGAAGTAGGTAGGGAAATCTCAAAGAAGATGTAGTTATCAAGTTCCAGTCTTGGTTTCCCTATCTTGAAATGCAGGTTTAGCTAGGCATCCACACATGACTTCTGAATATTTGGAAAATGCTCTATTTCTGGTTAGGGTTGCCCTTTCTTTTTGAAATGAACAGGAATTGAAACACTTGAAGAGTTATCTCAGCACAGTTTTTAGGTAATGACTAATGTCCAGCTTTGGCCATGGCACTGTATGGATTGAAGCCATCTGTCCTCCAAGCCTCTGCCAGAGCTTATTGCTCCTGAAATCCTGTGGAAGGCGCCTTGTATTTACTCATCTGACATTGCCTGAACTATGTTATGGAGCGCACATAATTTCTTCCATTAACTGGGTGATATATCAGGATTTATGTCTGGGAACAGTATCATTTTCATTCAGTATACTTATTTACAGAAGGAGCAAATGTTTCTATACTGATGCAAGAAAAAGTTTGTAAGAGATTTAAGTCTCAGTTTCATTTCTCACTGAAATAAAAAAGTCAAGAGAAGCCTTCAGTTTGGGTTTATTAAATTGTCTCTAATATGGAAGCCATAACAATCTGTTGAAACATCTGTCAAATAGTCGTATAGATTCCACTTGTGCAGAAATAATGACCCACATAACTCCTGGCTTAATGAGTTGTTATGTTTTAACGACACGCCCCCATTAAAATTTCAAGCTGTTAATTATACCAGTGAAGGTGGGTTTGGAAAACATTATGCAGCAGTTAGAGTTAAAAGGGAAAGGCTGTCATTATGCTGATACTTTATTTCCATTGAGATACATCTACATTACATTCTCGGTTTCTGTAGTGCCGATCAGAGTTATTGATCAGATGAAAATGGAACTTCTGTAACGGAGCAGGCTGGGAACTCAGCAGTTTGTGAGCATAAAGCTTTCCTGAGTTATAATCAGGTCATATTTTCAGGGCGGAATAATATCTCTTTGATTTCACTACATATACCGATGTTTTATCATAATTAAGGCCCTTTGCTGCAAGGAGTATTCCCTTCTCAGCACTACCACAACTATAAACCTTGCATAATAAAACTAATACTTGTAAATGTTTTATTGCATCGTAGTGGTAAAAATGCATTAGAAGTACACAAAAATTGAGAATTCAAAGCTTTTGGAGCCAGACTCACTGGGCAGATTACATACAGACACACCGGGACTCACTTCACTGGAGACAGGAATTCTCCATTGACCCTTAATTGCTCAAGACAGAGACAGCAGAAAGTATTTCACGTAGAATAATGAAAGCTCTAGTGAGTAATTCAGTCCTTTCAGGTGACCAGTATAACCAGAGCACTAATTTTCTGTCTAGTGAAATGCTCAGAAGGAATGCACATTTTCTGTGAAGTTTCCTACCCTGCCTTGAACTTTTCCCCTGGAATAAAGGTCCAAGAGTAGTGTCCTGTGGATGAGAAAAAGTGTTGCCACGACCTGTGTATTTTGTGGAACTGTGTCACTGAACACACTACAGCCACAAATACAGTTCAGTTTGGCTCCTTTTCTGCACCTGGATCAGCACTAACTCACTCAGATCTAAGAGGATGTTCTCTTAAGAGGTGTCTTTAGTGTTCATGGTGAGATATGACTACCTGGCTTCAGGATGGTATCCATGTGACTCATAAAAACATCTCCATCTGACAAGCTTTTTAGTCAGTGCAGAAACAAATACTCAGTTCCAGGAAGCAATTGATATCTTCCAAAAATAGGCAATTGAATGTGTCTGTTTCTGTCCTGTCACTATAAAATGACCATAAATAAGGTAACAAACTCACGTACAGACACCTACACTGCAGTCCTCTTCAGCTGATGAATCCTACCAAAAGCATCTTAATTTTAGTGATACCATAAATACATGTTCACAGTGATCTTTGCACCTTTCTTGGATCATCCAGTCACACAAGCAGGCTTTCTGCTAGTCTATGAAAGAAACGAAACAGGCACAACTACAACATATTGAGTAGGTGGTGTTTTAGCTAGCTGTTTTTTTGGAGTGCTTTATGAAGCAGTTTATATGGAGAGTAACTGTGCACAGTATGGAGGGATGTTTGGCTTTCCAGATTACATTTCTTACTTCTAAATGTTTGTGTAAAACAGTTGTTCAATTTAATGCAACTCTCACAGCATGTGTTTCATTTCTTTGGACAGATGCCCCCAGAAATAACTAAACGTCATTTTGACATCAGAACTGTTTTTTCTCACTTCTATTTTCCTTTTCAAAGAGTGCCTATCGAGTCTTCACTAACAGTACCTGTTTGAAGCATATGATTCTGAAGATCCGTAGAGATGCTCGTAATTTTGAGCGCTATCAGCACAACAGAGACCTTGTAAATTTTATCAACATGTTTGCTGATACCCGACTAGAGCTTCCTCGTGGCTGGGAAATAAAAACTGACCAGCAGGGCAAGGTAAGAGTGCCAACAAAACAAATCACTTGTTTAACACAGCACATCAGGCTACATGGTCTCTGACGGTCCCCTCATTCTTATCTCAAAAATGGTAAAAATTTGGATTAAACAACACTTACACCAAGCAGAGTTATTTTAAAAGCAGGAAAAAAAGCATCAGGAACAAGTGTTGTAGAGCATAGTGGTAACCTGGCTTCCTGTGGAATGTCACAGCATATCTGAGAAAGTACTGAACTAATAGAGATTTCATCCAGAGTAGAGGTCTGTCATGACAGTGACAGTGTCTGCTTCCATGAGGCTTTGCTACCAAATAAGCAGTGTCCCCTAGTGATTTTATTCTCTTCCACCTTGTTTACCTCATGGCTATTATATGTAATTTTGAGCTCCATGTATTTTCCAAGATCTGCTCTAAATTTGGCTAAGCAAGTCCTATTATTTGAAGATACTAACAGGGGATTTCTGACACGCAGTTTCTAGTGATTTTCACTGTATGTTGCCACCGTTGCTGACTTTCTTCTTCCAAAAATAACCACTCCACATTGTTCCTGTATATTTCAGTCTTTCTTCGTTGACCACAACAGTCGTGCTACCACATTCATAGATCCCAGGATCCCACTGCAGAATGGTCGTCTCCCTAATCACTTGACTCACAGGCAACATCTTCAGCGGCTTCGTAGCTACAGTGCTGGAGAGGTAACCATGCTTGTACCAACACTGATCCCTTTTCACAGCAGTCAGTTTAAAATGTGTTGGAAAAAAGGTCTTGTGGGTTTTTATCTTCCAAAGAAGTAAGAGTTCTTTTCTTTCTGAAGGGTTGCTGATAATGAAGATTTACATTTTTACCATTTTCAGAATAAAATAATAAACAAGTAAACTAAAAATCACAGTGAAATGATGACAAAACAGATTTTAAAAGAATCCATGATTGACATCCTTGCCTTGCTTCAGTAAAGGCAAGCCACTCATTATTGGTATACTTTGATACTTCAGCAGCCTTGTATCTTTCTTCATTCTCCACTGTGACACTGTGCTCTGAAGAGATATACTCCCTCGCAGGTGCAGCAATGCATATTAAGGTCTGCTTCCCTAACCTTCAAATCATGCTAAGCAGTCTTTCCTATGTTTCATGGATATGACTTCTATCACTGAGTAGCGTGGGCAGGATAGCAGGTGCGTAAATCCTGTTTTTGTTTAGTGGAGTTAAGGAGGGAAGGGTGCTAGCAATCAGATTCTTCATGCTGTTGAAGATTTGTGAAGATTGCAGGTGAATGGGAATAGATATGCATAAGGGCCACAGGGTCTATCTCCTGCAGAAAATCATCAGAAGTGTTAGTGAAATTGATATTGACATTTGTTCCAGCGGGACTAGTCTGAACACTTCCTACTACCGAAGGAACTTAGGATCAAGGGCAGGCAAGACATAAGTAGCTTTGATGGAGTTTTGGAATTTTGTGTGAATACTGCACAGTATTTTCTGAAGATTGAAGTCATCAGTGTCTCTTTCAGTCCTGTTCTCCCACCAGTTCAGCAACTTTCCTCTGCCAGCAGCCTGCACTTTAATGTTTTTATTGTGACTGATTCAAGTGATATGAATGTGAAAGCCACTTCTGCGGTGATCCATATTTAGGCTCATACTTTCCTGAGTCTTGCTTACAAATTCACCCAGTCAAAGACAGAAACACTGCTCAGCCAACCTAACACAAGAAATACACTTAGTTCTTCACATGGTTGCAGGACTGGCAGAAACAAAATGTCATTTTCAGGGAAGAGAGTAGAGAGAGTAATGACTCTGAGGAAACTGTGAACTCTTCATCAAGGGCACTGATCTGGCATGATTAGCCGGTGAAACGGAGCTGCCTTCTGTCTAGGCAGCTATCGGTGTTGGCACTCTCACTGGCTCAGTGGCCCAGATCTCATGGTGCTTATGCACCCCTGTCATAGCCTTTAGTTTCCCCTCTGGGAATATTTGCTCCTCCACTGGAAGCATTCCCATTCATTTCCAAGGTCTTTAGATCAGTGCCTGAAAGCACACCACTTACAAGGAAAAGATTCAAATATTTGCAGCTTGGCCCATGAAACTTTGTGGTCCATGCTATTTCTTCACAGTATGTTTGGATGTCTTTTTTTCCTATAAATCACAGAACTACAGAATTTCATATACTGGAGTGAGATCTTTAACTTACAGAATCACAGAATTGCAGGGCTTGGAAGGTTCCTCAAGAGATCAAGTACAACCCCCTGATAAAGCAGGTACGCTGCCATAGGTCACACAGGTAGGTGTCCACCCAGGTCTTGAATATCTCCATCGAAGGAAACTCCACAAGCTCTCTGGGCAACCTGCTCCGGCGTTCCATCACTCTTACTGTAAAGAAGTACTTCCACATGTTTGTATGGAACTTCCTACACTTGAGTTTTTAGACCATTATTTCTTGTCCTATTGCTATGCAGTGCTGAGAAGAGCCCGGCCTCATCCGTTTGCCTTTAGATCTTTATAAACATTGATCAGAGCCTCCCTCAGTCATCTTTTCCCCAGGCTGAACAGACCCATGTTACTCAGCCTTTCCTCATACAGGAGCTGCTCCAGGCCCTTAGTCATCCTTGTGGCCTTTTGCTGCACTCCTTCCAGGAGAACCCTGTCTTTTTTGAACTGGGGAGCTTAGATCTGGACACAGTATTCTAAATGTGGCCTCACCAGGAAGAGTAAACGGAGAGGATCACCTCCCTTGACCTGCTGCCATGTTCTTTTGAACACACAGCATGATACCATTGGCCTTCTTGGCCACAAGGGCACACTGCTTGCTCATGGCCAACCTGTTGTCCACCAGGACCCCCAGATCCAGCCAGTTGGCTCGTGAGGATGTGAAATGGAGACCTAGGGAGAAGGAGAGAAGATTTAGCTCAGCACAGAGGAGTTGTGTCTTTGGGCCAAGACTCAGAGAGAGTGCCTGTGAGAGCAGAGTACAACGCAAGGCTATTGCTTAACAGAGGTGAAGAGGAGACAAGACTAGTTTCACAGCCGAGGTTTTCATTACGCTTACACAGCTTTTGACAAAAACATAGATGCTGTTTAAATTGCATCAATCCCTATGGCACTCATTGCATTGCAGTGAGTACACTGTATATGACCTGTTTGAAAGTTCAGTCATAAATTGCCTGTTTTTAAAGGTGAAAGGGATTGGACCAAGATTAGCACATCAGCCCATTAAGTACTGCAGGCTTGACTGTTCTCCCTGACACTGGAATAACTCTCTTGTGGCTGGCAGATGTATACCAATATAAAAAATGGGTACAAGCACAATTATAATTAAATCACAGATAAAAATTTTCACTGTGCACTTTCACAACAGTTTTGTGTTTTCAATTACAGTATATTTAATCAGAATCATCAAGAGTTTTTATTGTTCAGCCTTTCTGTTGACATGTATGAAGTACATTGACTGGTGTCTTGTTACACATAAACTTTTTATTCTTTATGTGCTCCAAAGGCATCTTGCCAGTCACATTTAGCTTCTCAGTTTTCATTTATGTCCAGCTGGAAGACCTGGCATTCGGCCATAATACTGAAAATGGATTGGCACTACTTACTTGTATGCAGAGCTAAGCATTTAAAATATTGGAGTAGAGGCAATTTCTTCCAGAAGTAGTTGCCAACTACTACAGTTTGTGCAGCAAGAAGGAATCATCCCAGTAGAGTAGAACGGCAATTGGAATCCATACTCATCTTGTCTTGACATGGATTTTTTAGCAGTGCTCCTCTGTTGGTTTTCCTGTGGCCACACTTTGTCCAAGTGTGTCCTTGTCATATATGAGGGAGGTGCATTCCCCTCAGTTTGTACTATCCCACATGCAATTACACAGCAAGTAACAACACACTGAAGACAAATTGCTGTTGTTGTACTGGGCTTTTAATATCTTTTTAATATTTTAATATCCTCAGATCTAAGTGTCTGCCCACCTTCTAATGTATCTGCCTTCCTGACATGAATCCCCCCTCTAGATGCTGTGTTTAGGACAGTGGCATTCTTTAAGTCTCTCAGTTAAGTAGCAGTGATAAATTTCCCCTTTATTCCTCCTTATTTACCTACTTTTTAGTTGATGTTCTTTTTCTCAGCATATACAATTCAGTATCTGTTTCTGGTTATGCAAGTTAGGCAAAAGCCCTTTTCTGACCTGTGCTCAGCAGTTATCATGCTCGTATTATTCCAATACTGAATGTCCTTTCAACAATACAGAGAGAACACTTGTAATGTTGTGGGTTTTTTCTTTTACAAATTAACATTGCTGTAAAAATTTTTACATAAATAGTTATGCTAGAACAAGATACTGTATAATATGGCAGAGATTTTTTTTTCACTGACAGAGAACTCCATCACTGTAAGGCCTTTACTAACCTGCATTTACTTCGAGACTCTGTTGCCTTCACTGTAGCACAGAAGAGGGATAATAACTGGATAATAGTGTCCCTCCATTTGGGAACACAACATTACATATTTTTAAGCTGACTGAAGTGTAAAGCTATAATTGGCATGCAGACTTTCTGTCCTCCAATCAGTCAGCAAAATGAAACCACTCTGAAAGTCACAAAAGTAAAAATAAAAAACGCTCTTACTAATTGATGTGCTGCCAATTTGCCATTTGCCCATTCTTCCCCTTTTCTCCTTTGTTGTAGGCTTCTGAAGTCTCTCGGAACAGAGGAGTTACTCTGTTGGCCAGACCAGGCAATAGTCTCGTAACAGCTATTCGAAACCAGCATCATTATGAGACATTACCTCTGGGTAAGCCAAGTTTCTCTTTTCAAAGCAGAGCTCGCAGAAAAGCTTTTAGAACAATTTGTCACTCACACGCACAGCTCCGTGTTGTCCCTTGGCTCACTGGTAGTGCAGTCAGTGGGCCCCTGCATCATCGCAGTAATGTCCTGAAGGCCCCCTCAGTAGTAAATAAAGCCTCTGTATTGCTTTTTTCCTTTTCTAGCTTACAATGACAAGATTGTTGCATTTCTACGCCAACCTAACATTTTTGAGATGCTGCAAGAGCGTCAGCCCAGTTTGGCCAGAAACCATGCACTCAGGTACTGCTTTGTTCCACATTGCTGACACCAAATTCCATAAATTATTTACTGTAGTGAAAAAAGCAAATTCAACTAACTATTGCAAAAAAAATCCAGAACTGCCACTAAGTATCACTGAACAGCAGAAACTGTCTTCTTCTGCAGTTATCACCTTGCTTCTCAGAAGATAGCATTAACATGCAATTTTGATGAGAGTGAGCAGCAAAAAGCGAGTAATTTCAGTAGAAGGATTTTCCCTTGTGGTCAGACTTATACTCAAGCCAAGGACATAGTCATTCTAGATTTTATAAGCAGCAATATTATGAAGTACTTCTGTCTTAACTCCTTCACTTGACTTAAAATTAGTCTTTCCTAAGTAATTAAATTATATCTCTGTTTTTATTACACCCATTTCTTTTCTGTTAGGTGTAAAAAAAAAAAAAAAAGAAAGAAAGAAATGAGAACTAAAAGCCAATACAGTTTTAAACTCATTCTAATTCCAGAAGTTAGATTAATTGTTTTGGCCTAGAACCTGAGCTGGTTTTAGTCAGTCTCAGCCATACCAATGTACACCAGCACAGAGTTTGGCCGAAAGGTTTAGTTTGCTCTGCACAGTGAAAAGTGCAGCTGGGGACCTGGTAAAGAAGCAAAGGAGGAGGAAGAGAAGAGCGTTCAAGATCTTGTAGCCAACTTTCTGCTGTTGACTCATAATTTACACTTGAGAGCCTGACAAAGAGTTCTGTGGGGGTAAGGATTAGACTTGCTTCCTGAAGGAATTAATACATGCAAATAAAATGAGAAAGAAAGAATGAAAACTGCTGCTTGTATTCAAGATGTACATTTCTGTAACTGAGAATTTTTTATCTTCACTATCAAATTATTCCAGACTTTTTTTCCCAGCTGTAATTTGAATTCTCATTTCTCAGAGAACAGATGATGGTTTTATGTCCTTCAGAGCAGAGAACAAAATTGACTAGGGATAGGGACTACACAGCTTAGTATTAAGATCTGTAACAAGATGTTGAGCCTCCAAGTCATTGCTTTGATTGAAGCGTAGGTTGGGAGTAATCCCAAACTACAATCTAATGCTCGTATAGCAGACCTTGAGCAAACTCCTAGGGGGCAAATGTCCATCTTTCACAGGTTTGACTCTGCCCCATCCAGAGAAGTACATCTTTGACTTTACATAGAATCTTGATATTTTGATGCTTGTTATTCTTGGATACAGCAGTGCTACAGAAACATGCTGGCAGATTGGGATGTAGCTCTGTGTTTTTCATGGGTCTGACCTACTGTTGGGATCCTATCTGTGCTTTCCATCCTTGTTAGAATTCATTTAAAGCAGCAAAATGCATGATTTTATACATACACCATGTAACAACTTTGATTATCAATTGGTATCATATTCTTGATATTCTAGTGTGGTTTTTACCAGCTGGAATGGACAGAGGTACAGGAAGTGGTATTATATGAAATACTGTTAATGAAAGGAGATATCTTAGTTGTAACCTTAAACTAGAAGTCTGTCTGTCAGTGACAGTAGCTATAATATTACACATGGGCTTAGAAGGTGAAGAATTATTTTGTTTTCTGAAATATGGTAGAATATCTTTGGCTTTAGGATCAGGCAACTGACTGATATAAATAGATTTTTTTTTTACTAGTTTGTTAGTGTAATTTGCAAATTAATCAGGCAGTTAAACTGTCTGCCATTTTTTTGAAAGAGAGAAACAGGAACTGGCAAAATGCTGAGGAATAATGATTTTATGTCTAACTCATGCCTTGATTGTGGCATGTTCTCTTCACCTTTTTCTTTCATTCTCCTCTTGTCAATAATATTATTTATGTTTCAGGGAGAAGATCCATTATATTCGGACAGAGGGTACTCATGGGCTTGAAAAGTTGTCCTGTGATGCAGATTTAGTAATTCTGCTGAGGTAAGAAATTTGATCAAAAGCATAATATTGTTTCTAAATCTTCCAGACCATTTGTAATTAAAATAAGATTTGTTGTTACTGAGAGTCACTTAAAATAATTCAGCCAGTGTCTATCATTCCATTCTTACTTCCTGAAAGGCAGCCTCCATCAGTGCAACAAACTCCATCCACAGTCAGCTCAATTATTTCAGCTGTTGTCATCAAAAAGCAGATAAAAACAATCAAGCAAAAATGTTTCATTTTAAAGTTGTTTTGTTTTTACAAAAGGAAGGAAAAAACCCTCTTCTTTCACAATGCAACTAAGTAATGTAGCTGCTCGTAAAATTGCTAATTTTAGTACAGTAATGCTGTCCATACACACAGCCACATCCCACAAATGAACCTTCAAGTGCAGTAAATGTTGTTTGGGTAAAAAGACTTCTATTGGGACTGCAGAGCTTGCTCTTTATGTACTAACTACTATTTTTTAGCACAGTTAAGGACTTTCGTGTTGTTTTGAGTTTACATGGAAAATGTTGCATTACCTCATGTGATGAACATGTACGAAACCTCTCTCTATCAATTTTTACACGCAGCCTTTTTGAAGAAGATATCATGTCCTACATACCACTCCAGGCCACTTTCCATCCTGGTTACAGTTTCTCTCCTCGCTGCTCACCCTGCTCATCACCCCAAAATTCTCCAGGTAAGGGAATGGGAAAAATAACTCAAAATCTTGCAGTCTTGGTATTTATCCTAAGAAATATGAAAGAACAGATGGAGAACCAGCATGAATTGTTAACCTGTTAATTCCAGTGCCCACTCCAAATCTGCTTTTTTGCTGGATCAGTTGCCATTGCTGTTACATGTCTGTTGAAATGTTAGCAGTAGCTAGAGCACACAAATCAGGAATTGCACATGTGGAAGAATGCATTTTGCTGCTTTTCATATATCTGGGGAGGATTAAGATAAAAAGAGAATAATGTGCTTCAAATATAACTTGCTGACATGGAAGCACATTCGTGTTATGTGACAAGAGCAAAGAGCGACACCCAAATCAAAAGCTTATTGCAGTACTTTAATAGTTCTCTTGTAGAGTTAACTCACCTCCAGTTTGTGTTCCAAATACTTCACCTCTTTCCAAGACTCATCTATTTTAAGACCCGATGGAATTATCTTGATCATCCTGTCTGACCTCCTGTGTTGAGAACTTTAGTTTGACAGGAAACTCATTTTCCAGAAAGACATGCAGTCTGAGAAGGTTATTTCCAGCTGTGGTATGTCTCTGTAGTTATTGTTTATGCTATAGAAATTTGAGGAGCTGATGTCTCCATTTTGCCAAGATACACACCGCCCCACTACAGTCTCACTGCATGGCTGTGTCCAGTGGTCACTGTTAGAGAAATTTACAGAAATGTGATCTGGAGAAATCCATTTTTGGCTGATATTTGAAAACATCCATGTGCATTATCTGATTTCAAACAAAATTGTTGGACAAGAGATGTCCAAATCTCAGAGGTGGCTATGCAAAAATGAATTTTCTTTTATGCCAAGAAGTTAAATGCTGAACCTTTGTCTCCAAGAGACCAGTGTTTTGTCAGAATGCTCTATTGTCATGAATGAGTTTGAACATCATTGAGAATAAATGTAGCCCCTTTCCTCTGCATCAGGACAGATCAGAAACAGGTCTACTGCAAGACCAAGTCTAGGTATTTGGCAAGAAGATGCCTTTCAGAAATGCACAGATCTTTCTCGTTTTTGTGAAAACAAAAGAGCAAATACTAATTTGTGGCAACATGCTGTCTGCTTGCTTATTTTTGCCACTGCCTTCATATCCCTTGAGAGCCACAATTCCCTTACATTCTGAGGGACAAAAAGTTTAACAAAAGTGTCACAAGGGATTCTCCTTGCACAGCATGTAAATACTCCTTTCTGTTTTACTGGCACAGACTTAGTAATGTGCTTTCCTCCTGGCAATCATGGTACTTTGTGCTCCCACTAAATGTGTTTGATTTTTTTTTACCTTCCTATGGAGAACTTTCTGCCAGAATTCTCATATAAGAGCTTGTTTATATTGTCTTTTCTAATGAGAAAGGGAAATGGGATTTTAAGGATCCGTTCTTTGACATGATCCATGACTTCTTTCCATGGCATGGCACTTCTGCATACAAAAGGACTAATCAGCCACTTTGAAAATGCAGACTCCAAAACAAAACAGATCCCAAATTACTGAAAATCTGGTGTGTGTGTGAACCATAATAGGAAAATGTCACATTTCTTGCTGACGGAAATCCTTTTCAGTGCCACACAGGGTTTTTGTGTTGATGACTGGAAGCGTTTAATATACAGTTAGATTAACTCTGGGAAACCTGATTCTCTGTTTGGCTGGGGTGCTAGGCTCCAGGCAGAAGTGCTGCTTTGAGCTCCAGAAGTTTAATCCTGCCAAGTAAGAAGATCTGCTATTCAACGCAAAAGAGAGAGATCTTTTAAAAGTGAAAAAGAAAATCTAAATACCAACGATCATGAGTGGGAGTTACGCATGTCAACCTTTCAATCATGCCTTTCTGATCCTTTCATTCCGATCAGTCATAGTTAAAGGCTCAGGCAACCCAAAGGCATGCAAACACAATGCCAAATTTACTGCTCTCTTAGTGAAGAAAATACCGGTCCCAGAAGTCATCAGAATCACAGAGTTATAGGAACTTGAAACCCCATTAATGACAGGTAGAGTAGAATTAGGCCTTATGAGGAGCAGCTGAAGAAGCTGGGATTGATCAGTCTGGAGAAGAGGAGGCTCAGGGGAGACCTCGCTGCTCTCCATAACTACCTGAAGGGAGGTTGCAGTGAGCTGAGGGTCGGCCTCTTCTCGTGTAACTGGTGATAGAACTAGAGAGAATGGCTTCAAGCTGCGCCAGGGGAGATTCAGGTTGGAGATTAGGAAATACTACTTCTCTGAAAGAGTAGCCAGGCAGTGGAATGGGCTGCCCAGGGAGGTGGTGGAGTCACTGACCATGGAGGTGTTCAAGGAACGTTTGGATTTTGTGTTGAGGAACATGGTTTAGTGAGTACTGTTGGTGATGGGTGGATGGTTGAACTGGGTGGTCTTGTGGGTCTTCTCCAACCTTGGTGATTCTATGATTTTATGATTCTATTAATTAATACTAAGTGCATAGAAACTCTGCGTATTACTGTAAGAAGTTCCTAAAACATTTGTTAGTGAGTTGTGTCTGGAAACATTGGCTGCATGATTTGGAAGAATTTAAAAGAACCTTGCAGTATAGAATGTTTTTTTCCCACCAGGACTGCAGAGAGCAAGCGCAAGAGCACCTTCTCCATACAGGAGAGATTTTGAAGCCAAACTACGCAATTTCTATCGAAAACTTGAAGCCAAAGGATATGGACAAGGTCCAGGTAAAATTAAGTAAGTATTATGACAAGTCACTCAAATAGTCTAATGTGGTCTTTAATCATTATCCATGAATGAAGGCACTGACTGATAGGGAGTGGGAAACACACCAGAGATTGGACTTCATATGTGCACCACCAGTATCTGATAAGTGTATATCTTGCAAAAGAGTGAAGAAATTCTGTTTCTTAGAGATTTGTATTCTCTCACTGACCTGTTTAATGGGGGTGTTGATATTCCTCCCTGTAATTCACTAGAAGGAAAATTATCTGTTCATGCAATTGTCCATGGTAATAAACTATACATTATTACCAGCTATTTCATTGTAATGATGGAGCAGCTCCAAATCCTTTGGATCTACTTACTAATAATTCAGGATCAGAGTATGACCTGACAAAAGTTATCCCATCTATGCAGTTTCAACTTCAGGTAGTTCTCTGTATTGCTAGCCCTTGTGGATTTGAACCAGGGAGATTTCTGCCTCTCTTCATGTGTTTTGGGGGATCATTGTCTTAGTTGTGGGACTGGCTTCATAGACAGCTTGGTAGTCGGCTTGAGACTCTGTGCTTACCTATACTTGATTGAGTCGTCTTACTTAGTTAAAAGACTCTATGTTTCTAAGATATTTCCCGGGCACTGGTTGAGTTTATGCATCAGAATGACTTTTTACCAAATCACATCTGTTGGGGGAGGGGAGGGGAACTGAAACAAAGCAGTTTATTACAGACAAGTATCATCATCATGATATTCTTACAGACCTGGGGAGTCCCAGTCACTGGTTATCCCCTTTAGTGTAGTTATTTGACTTCTATGGAATTGAATTTACCAGGTCTTGTTTACCTTCAGGCTTACAGACTCACACGAGATTCGATCATTATACCTCTTTTTCTGCCTCCCTTTGCAGGCTAATTATACGACGTGACCACTTACTGGAAGGCACCTTCAACCAGGTGATGGCATATTCACGCAAGGAGCTCCAGCGAAACAAACTCTACATCACGTTTGTTGGCGAGGAAGGGTAGGAAACCACTAATGCTCTCAATTTTGAAGTAGCTGTTATGTTGCAAAACATAGTTGACTAAGGCTGAGCCTTCATTTATGCACTGTTTTTATTTTACTTCTCATTTTACTTCTGTGTTAATGATCCATCTTAATTAGACCAACCATTTGTTAAAAATCAGAATAGCAAAAATTCTTCGTTTTCCTATACCATCTAGATGTCTCAAAGTGACAATTTAAGTAGTTAAGTCTGATGTCACCTTGTTGCCATAAATATTTAGACTGGATGGAAGACAAAAATGAACTACAGGCCCATGGTTACACATTGAATCACTCTCAAGACTATAATTAGTTATTAGACAAAGCCTTTACCCCTTTTATTACTCTTACTCTAAAAAATGAATCTAGATTTTCTTCAAATGTTTTTGCTTTGCATGCCGTCCAATGAACATTTTTTATTATATGTGGACTTATGCTCTGCCTAAAGTGAGAAAGTTTAGTCATAACAGTGTGACTCACCCAGCTGAAAAATGAAAGCAAAAGAATTCTCTTGAGAAGATCTTTTCTCAGGAGACTTTCTGCCGGCCTTACAAACCCTAGGACCGTGCACCTATGATTAAAGCAAGCCACTGACCTTTTGTTTCTGCATCTAAGCTGAACCTTCAGTGCCACCCCAGATCACCTCAAGAGGTACATTTTAATTGAGACTTACTCCATATTCTTCTTAATGGAGAAACCACTCTGCATATTTCCAGTGTTCCTTGTAACAAAGATTTGAAGTAATATTTTTCAATAGCTTTGTATGTAAGGTTTCATTTATTAAAAACAAAAAGAGCAAAAACAAACAACAAACAAAAACTAGGTTTTCCATTACAAAAGTACCAGAACAGGAACAGTAAAGCTCTGGGCACAGTTCTCTCCAGCAACCACTGACACTGTCAGCTCTGAGATAGCATGTCAAGTGGAGAGCTTCTGAAGAGCTGAGTTGGTTCAGAGTTACATCAGGTCCACTGGAAAATAAAAGTAATGGATTTAAAAAACTGTTCCTCAGTTATCTTAGTGTCAAGAGTTTTTTTAACTCTTACTTTCTATACTCTATGGAATCAATATTATGTAATAGAAGTCATCTTTTACAGCTGATTTTGTCACTGACTTGCAAGTAAAGCTTAAGCATGGAAAATACTGCATTTTTGGAATAGCATTCTAGTATGCTTACACTGGCCAAAGTCATGTTATTTTCCCCACATCTGTAATAACTTTTTTGTGTGTGTGGCAAAGTACTCAGGAGAACCTCAGGCCTCAGGCCTAAAGCTGCTGAAGGGAACAGTAGTAAGCCTCCAAATGTAAAGCAGAGAAGGGTGGACCTGCGGCCCATTATCATCTTTGTTGTTACACCAACCAGTTATTCAGACTCTTTTGATTATGCTTCCATAACTTGAAGCATATTACAAAACATTCTGATCCAGCCGCAGTTTTCCACTTGTTTGACATTTATTAAGTATGAGGAATAATGCCCGCCTCAGAAACTGTTTTGGCATGCACGATGTATGGCTGCAAATCATTTGTTCATTTTGCTGTATGTAGATATATTTTAGATTGAAAAACCTACATATCAGTATTAAAGAATTATCTGCTTTTAATAAATCCATCAGAATTGAGATTAATTCATTCATGATGGCTTTTTGTTTGTTTTGCGTATAATTGGAAACTGATTTAAAAGTTAAATTGAAGAAAAAAAAAAGGAAAAAAAGTTCAGTCTCTATAGAGCAAAGTCATGCAGTCGCAAAGCAGAACTTCAAGTGTACCACATGTATTTGAAACTATTAGAAAATTATATTTGGAACTTGGATGGAATAACTGATGGATCACCATTCCATCTTAAGGGAGGTTGTCTGATTCTTGGTCTTCCTCAGTATTTACCTTTAGGTTATACACTCTTAAGAAATCATACCAGGGGCTAGATTGTGTCACTGGGAGTAGGGGAGTAGGGTCAATCTTTGCTTCTGTCTGAGCTATCTGATCTGAGAACCCAGATGTTAGTAGGCAGTTCAAACCCACTACTAAAAAGCAAAAAAGTGAGAAGAGGGTCTTTGCCCTCTGCCCTGTGGGATCTGCAATCAAGTTTTGGGAGAGGAACTGTATCATGTTAGAAACACTTAATTGTGCAGAGGTAGGTATTAGCAGGCAGTGCCTGCAAAAACAAGGAAATCTGCTCAAATGTGAATGAGTCTCTTTTTTTATGTTTTTTCTTTTTTTTACTTTTTCCTTTCCAGACTGGACTACAGTGGCCCCTCTCGAGAATTCTTTTTCCTTCTGTCTCAGGAGCTCTTCAATCCCTATTACGGGCTGTTTGAGTATTCAGCCAATGACACTTACACTGTACAGATCAGCCCCATGTCTGCCTTTGTTGAAAATCACCTGGAATGGTAAGGACATTTTATGCAGAACGGAACAATCCTTTTAGAACAGTTCAGAAATAGAAACGCAAAACACAAAAGATATCAGTTTAGACTAGACTGCATACAAGTGTCATTGCTGCTGTTGGGAAGAGGTGAGAGGTAGACTGGGAGAAGAAAGAGGACTAAGTGTAAATACACCAGCAAGCTTTTAAAAAGGAATTGTGATGAAGTACTATTATTCAGATATTCTAGTTGTATTACTTGGGGTTTGATGTTTTTGTTCTTCATTGTGACTATGAAAAGGATGGGAGTGTGGGCTCTGCTAACCTGGATCCTTTTCTAAGAATATCATGTGTAGTCTTTTAGCACATCAAGCAGCTTGGTGCTTAGAAGCTTTAAAAAGGCCCAGAGAAAGCAGTATACCTTTTGTCCCTGCCAGTGTCCTTGCCTGTGCATGGCATGGCCAGCAGAGCAGACATGTCCTTCACTTTCCCTTGTACGTGTGCAAATAGACAAATTGGTTCTTTATCAAAAATTCCAAACGCATATTGTGATGTTTTTATTTTTGTATGTGCCTCCAGATCACTCCATCTTTGGGATTTGCTTTCCTTCTGATAGTTTCAGGTGTGGTTCAGTGGAGCATGTGCTTGGTCACTTCTGGCATTTCATTGTTTCAAAGAAGTACTGAAACATCGGTCTGTTCTTATGATGTTTTGCTTTATCTAACCAATCTCACTGACTCCTCTTAGAAATTCTTTTTTTTTTTTTAATGGAAGGCCACTCAGGCCCTTTTCAACCACCAACAGCACATGCCCCTCTGTTCTTCTAGACAGTACTCTATGTGCTTTGGTTTATAGTGGGCAGGAAGTCAGGAAAGACAAAAAGAAGCCTCATCTCTACTAAATTTGCAGTGGAAGAAAAGATAAGTTGCTGTGACCTAGTAATGGTCTCTGAATTGTTTTTTCTATTGCCACTTCCAGCAGTAGAGCGTTACAATAACAATGATCTTTGCACTAGGACTATTTTTCTGCTGTCATTAGCAGGAAGAGAGTGGCATAGTTCTTAAAGCTTGTCGGTCTCCCTCTGCAACCCTACTAATTAAACATTATGCAGTGGCTTCCCAGTTTTCAAGGAAAAAATACAGTCTGTCCTTTGTTCAGCTTGACAGGCAGCATGAATAAACTTCTGATTTCAGAGGCTGTGTTTGTGAGGATGCATTTTGATTCCAGGGCACAGGACTTCTTCTGCCCACACTGTGAACAAACTGGACTCAGGCCCGTTACTCCAGAGCTGGTGATACCATGTTATCCAGTGGTATTCGAAATAACTCCTGTCTCTTATCTGTTGTAAATAGCATCTCTGTGAAAAAAAGTTCAGCTTCAGTTTTTTTTAACAGAAGTGATACATCCTTCTTTGTTCTCTACTCCCATTTTGTTCTTCTGCTCATTAAGAGATTTTATCATGGAACAGGCAGATTTTAAAGGTAATCAGCACATATTAAAAAGAGGAGAGACACCTAATATATATTTTTTATAGCAGTTATTACTTGAATGAGAAATCAGTAGCAGTTAAACACTTAGGATTGTATTTCTCTAACTACATGTGTAGATAGAGGTTACTTGTATGCAGAATGTTGTTTGGATTTAAGGAATTTTTGGTTTCTTGTTTGTGTTTTTTTGTTTGTTTGTTTTTTAAGGAAAGAGAGATGAAGTACATTGGCCTGTAGAGTGAAATAAATGCTGTGAACAAAGAGGCTTGTACATAAAGTAGAATTAAGCAGGATAAGATTGCAGAACCCAAGGGAAAGATAAGCAATCCTGTAACTCCTTGAACCTGCTATGGAAATAACTGGCTGAGACAGCAGTTTATAATTAGCCTGATAGATTTCATAGGTGGCTTGTAGATATGCAGGCATTCCACGTCTGTTATGTTGTCTGTGTTGACTGAACTCAGCCATACATGCATATACATATATATGTACTACAGAAGTCTGGTTACAGGCTAGGATGAGGTTTCAATTAAGCTTTTGCAAACTGAAATAATAGGATTGCTCTGTTAACTCTTTGCACACTAACTTCTCTGAGGATACTGTACTAACCTGCATGTCATCATTTGTTCATGAGGAATGGAGTGTTCTGAATTTCTCACCCTTCCTCTGACACTGTTCTCATCCAAGTCAGTGCTCAATCTTCTGTTTGCAAATTTACTTGTTGATATAGTTCCAGCACAGTCTTCTCTCTCTAACTTGAAAGCAATTATTTTCCTGTTTCCAAAACTGGTAGAAACATCAGCAACTATACATGGATGAAATGATATTCAGAATTCACAGATGATTGATTGTCTTTTTAAAACTTGAAGATTAATGTCAATCACAACCACAGTAGTTATAGATTTGCAGATTTATTGAACCATTTGCCTTTTGATGCTGTGGGGCTTATCATTTGTGTGACATCTACCTATTACATGTGTTTTCTGTAGAGTAATTCTACAAGACTTGTAGAGACATGGTAGAGTAGAAAAATTCCCTCAAAATTATGTAATATTTTCTCTTTTAATTGAACAGTGGTAAGTTTGAGATAGAACACGTAACAAAATGCAAAGATGTGAAGTTTTGGCAGAACTGAAAAATACGCTGCTTTTCCCCCCTCTGGCCTAAAAGTTGCACTTCATCCTCTGTTAATGGCTTATTTCATGCCTTGCTCTTTGTACAAACAACATTCAGAGTCCAAAATGAGCACATCAAAGTGCAGTGTAGTTGTATGCCAAGTTAAAAAAAAAAAAAAAGAAATGTAATGACTGGAAAATGTTTCACATTTATGGAGAAACTGAGACTTAACACATTTCCTGCAAGCCTCCATTGAATACAACTTTTTCCTGCAGTTAACATATGGGCATGCTGAACATTTTCAATCTTCAGAAAAATTAATTTTAAATCCTCTATCTGAAAGAACACAGTTAAATCTGTCTAGACCTACGAGGTTTGATTATACACATTTTTATTTGTGTGCTACAGGATGTGCTTGAAGTTCATAGAATTGCTTTCAATCCATGCCAGCAATGAGCCATTCTATCAGATCTATGTAACGTGCCTACTTCTATGCCTGAATACTGGAAAACATCTTTGAAAATACTGTTTACAACCCTACAAAAGATAATTTACCTTTCTCCAAAGAAATGGGCAAAACATGGTTGCAGATGCAATATTTTATTCCAGTGAAAAGGATATAGTTTAGCCCAGAAAGAATATTCTCATTTTCACAATTGATCAACAATTGGTCAGGTGTTTTGGATAATTGAGGTAGGATACCACAGACTATCTGATGGAGGAAATATGTTTCTAAATTCTGGAAACAAAATGCCTAGTTTCAAAATCTGCAGAATCTCAAATACTGATGCAAGCCACAGGTTACTCTCCTACTTGTCTTCATGGTACGTTTTTCAACAGATCTAGAAAATGGCTAGTGTCTGTTCAGTGCATCACACTCACTCTGTGTTGTAACAGAATAAAGTGTCTAACCACACTGTAATTCACTATGGTTTTCCTTGGACCTTTATTTTATCTACAGTTTTCCGTAATATTTTCCTACTCTGGTCCAGCTAAAAAACACAATAAAGTGAATATGTATTCTTTATATATACGTGGTTATTTCTGTATCATTTTTACCACACCTGAGGACCACTTGTTCTTGTGGCTACCAGTTTTAGATGTTTAATATTTGCCTGTCATTTAATATCACTTAAGTTCTACTTCTTAGAATAAAACAATTCTCAGTGTTTTCTTGAGAACTGTCTCTCCCTCCTATCAGTACTTAATCTGACAATGACAAAAACGTCTCATTGTCTTTTCATTTCACAAAAATCTGTTCACAAAGTGCTGTCAGGCAGAAATCTGATCTCTATTTTCACGTCCTCTTAGTGAGCTAGAGTTTTCCTTCACAGCACTCCTGTCTTTAGAGTATTCTGGTGAGATAATGTGATGTGCACTTCTTCGAGACACAGAACTGTAGTCACAGCACGGTCACCTGCACCCCACTCTGTCACCAGATCACTTGCTTGCTCTTCTATCTAACTAGCATCCTCCACTTTTGAATTTTTAGTTCATTGTGTGTTTGTAAATGTAGAACCACTGCCAGAAATATGAAAGGAAGCCCAGGACAAAAGACTAGATGGCCTAGACAGATAAAGTCATTCGCAGACATTCATTTGGAGATCTGATGGATGCTAACTTGAAACATCTTCTGTATTTTCATAGCAAATTAATGATAGCATCCATTATCCATTGCAGAAAAATCCTGTTGTGTTTTGATTTTTTTTGTTTTCTTTAGATGAAGCTTAATACATTTATTTAGCAGAAGTGTCTTAGAAAGTTGAAGATTTGTGATTAAAAATGTTTTTTTGCAGAATCTTACTGAAGAACATAGAGATGGCATTACAGTGAGATCTGGTGGCCTAGGTTTTCAGGAACTGTAGACTGATTTCTTGCTGTGGTGTCCTAATGAACTATATTAACTTATTTAGAACTTATTTAGTGCTTATCTAGAACTGCTTTTAGGATAGGAGTTTCAATTCCCATAGTCAATATTTTTTCTGCTTTCTGTTATCCCCCATAGTCTAATCCTTGCTGCTGAACAGACAGAAGACTTGCATGCATTTGCACACGTATTCTGCAGGCAGATGAAAGCCTGTTGCACCCACTCTTCATGTAGACAGGTACTTGCTTCCCCCTGCGCCAACTGATGTGCTTTCTGCAGCACTGAGCCAAGCAAATGTATGCAGCATTCACCTGCTCTGACAACTCAGGGACACAGTTTGCCTGCTGTGTGGGTAAACCTGAGTCAAACTCTGACCTTCCCATTTATTTATTTTGTGTCAGCGAAAAGCCATGTAGCCATCACTGCCCGTCTTAAGTATTCCTGAGAATGCAGGGTGTTGTTTTACCAAGAATGTCCCAACCTCAACTATCCTTTCCTACTGGGAGTGCTTAGTTTTCTTAACCTGATTTCCTTTGGAGCTGTGCCTTGTGCAAT